TTCCTACCAGAAGATCAGGGGTGTGGCGGAAAGACAGCAGTAAGAAGAAGCGAAGGAGTAGCAGTAGAAAGGCTGCAGAAAGAATCAGGAGTCCAGAGGAAGGGGCAAAGGAGGTGAGGGAGTGGGGGCAGAAAGAGGAGACGAAAGCTGACGACAGAACATTGCTAGAGAGCAGGAAATGAGGTGAAAGGAGACAAATTTAAAGAAGAAAATTTTTTGGTCGCTACCCGGATTCGAACCCGGGACCTTTTGAATGAGAGGCCAACACCTTAACCTCTAGGCCACGAGAGCCCCCGCCGTTTGTTTGTACTGGTGATTGTCTTATAGATGTACATGTAGCCATTTGAGTAAGTTCGACTGTTATGTAGTTTTGCATCATCTCGTTTTCTAAAGCCGACTTTGAATCTTGTCAGTGGTGTGTCTTTTCTGGCGTGTGTTCAGGGAGTATGTTTGTTAACCAGGGGGTGTGGGTGGCTAACGGGTGATCTGGTGTGGTTTTCTCCTTACTTTTTTTCTGTTAAATTTTAATGTCTATTGTCGCGGGTGGTTGGCTGGTGGTCCGGTGTGGTTCGTCCATCTTTCTTATCAAACATCTATCGTCCTCCGTCTCTCCCCCTTCTTTTGTGTGTTTGTTACTTTCTTGTAACATCTCTAATCTTCGGACCATAGATGACTTCATTGTGTTGAGCGTGCCTTAAAACCCATAACATTTAAAAAAACGAAATTTCTATCGTACATAATAAAATAATCTCCTGTTTCTTTTCTACGTATGTTACTCTCTCTTGTAACACCTAAAATCTTCGACAGTTATAGGACCTATTTATGTCATAGGCGCGGTAAAACTCTTACTAAAACTAATGAAAAACAAAAAAAACAAAAACAAAAACAAAGAACAAAAACAAAAACAAAACCCAGAGAGGGGGCGGGGAAGTGGAGGTAGAAGTGGATATTGAGCCGGTAAAATATATTGCATAGAGTATGCAGAGTTTGGGATTACGTCGACGCGTTCGCTGTTATAGTTATAGAGTACAATAATTGGTCGCTTTAAAGTACAAGGGTGCTTTCCCGAAAAACACTGTTTTGAGAAAATCGATGGTTAAGTTGTTTTTTAAAACCCCTTTTCAGTTTTTTTAAAAGACAGGGAGAGTTTCCCACTTTTGGTGTAGGTCAAGATTTCTGGAAACCCCCAAAATCTGGGTTAGCCCGCTTGTCCTTAAAAGCGACCAATTATACTTCTACGTTTGTGTCAATGACAATAGAAATATAGGTATTTTACAGATAAAAACAAGTGAAACAAAGGGCTCTGCTTTCAAATTATCGTTTAAATGCATAATCGAAAAGTACAAAAAGGAAGTGGTAAGCATTATTATTATATTAACTGTCACTTTGCGATAAACATTCTCCCTGCACTCAATACAGCACTTATCCCAATGTTCTACAGTTGTAAGAGAGGAGATATAGAGATGTAATACGATGCAGTTCTTTGAAGTATTAATATTGTTTCCATCCTCTCGCAGATTGGTTTACTTGACGTAAAGTCTAATTGTCATGAAACAGAAAAACAGCAATAGTAATAGTAATAATAATAATAATGAAAATGAATGCATTAAACAAATTACACAGTATTGATATTTGTTGTGGAAAGTTGGGTTACAATGGCAAGCATACACACATAAGTACGCAATCATGAATACAAACATACATAGATACCAATATAAAATACACGATATTGCACCAGTACCGAACATCACGAACATGCCATTGCTGGTCGCCACTGTGCAGCGCCTTATAATGATGAGGATGATGATAATGATTATGGTGATAATAATAATTATAATCATAGTAGACTATTATTATTATTATTATTATTAATAATAATAATAATACTAATAATAATAATAATAATAATAATAATAATAATAATAATAATATTAACAATATTTTAACTTGATAATGATGATGATGATAATAATGATTATATAATAGTAATGATGACGACGACGATGATGATGATGATGATGATGATGATGATGATGATGATAATGATGATGATGGTGATGAAAAATATTAATAAGGGGCTCTCTTGAAGATAAATTCATACAAACTGCTGTGCAAAGTATGGGTGACATTGATTCACCCGTTAAACTAAAGAGATATTTGAGGATAAGTTGCGCCACGAATTTTTTACCGCACTGTAGGCTGCTCTCGTCACCTCAACCGTCGCATTCATCACCATCGTCTTCACTGTCTTCACTGTCATCACCTTCATCACCTTCATCACCTTCATCACCTTCATCATCGTCATCACTGCCATTGCCACAGCCACCGCCAGTAGCACTGTTATCTTCCACGTTATTGTCACCAGGGACAGTGTTACCCATAGGGACAGTGGTACCCATAGGGACAGTAGGGACAGTGTTACCCGTAGGGACAGTAGGGACAGTGGTACCCATAGGGACAGTAGGGACAGTGTTACCCGTAGGGACATTGTTACCCGTAGGGACAGTGGTACCCATAGGGACAGTGTTACCCGTAGGGACAGTGTTACCCATAGGGACAGTGGTACCCACAGGGACAGTGGTACCCATATGGACAGTGGTACCCACAGGGACAGTGGTACCCATAGGGACAGTGGTACCCACAGGGACAGTGTTACCCATAGGGACAGTGGTACCCAAAGGGACAGTGTTACCCATAGGGACAGTGGTACCCACAGGGACAGTGGTACCCATAGGGACAGTGTTACCCGTAGGGACAGTAGGGACAGTGTTACCCATAGGGACAGTGTTACCGGTAGGGACAGTGGTACCCATAGGGACACTAGGGACAGTGGTACCCATAGGGACAGTGGTACCCGTAGGGACAGTGGTACCCGTAGGGACAGTGGTACCCGTAGGGACAGTAGGGACGGTGTTACCCGTAGGGACAGTGTTACCCATAGGGACAGTGTTACCTGTAGGGACAGTGTTACCCGTAGGGACAGTGTTACCCGTAGGGACTGGGCTACCCATAGAGACAGTAGGGACAGTGTTACCCATAGGGACAGTGTTACCCGTAGGGACAGTAGGGACAGTGTTACCCGTAGGGACAGTGGTACCCATAGGGACAGTATGGACAGTGGTACCCATAGGGACAGCGTTACCCGTAGGGACAGTGGTACCCATAGGGACAGTAGGGACAGTGTTACCCGTAGGGACAGTGTTACCCGTAGGGACAGTAGGGACAGTGGTACCCATAGGGACAGTGTTACCCGTAGGGACAGTGGTACCCATAGGGACAGTAGGGACAGTGTTACCCGTAGGGACAGTGTTACCCGTAGGGACAGTGTTACCCGTAGGGACAGTGTTACCCGTAGGGGCAGTGGTACCCATAGGGACAGTAGGGACAGTGGTACCCATAGGGGCAGTGTTACCCGTAGGGACAGTGCTACCCATAGAGACAGTAGGGACGGTGTTACCCGTAGGGACAGTAGGGACAGTGTTACCCGTAGGGACAGTAGGGACAGTGTTACCCGTAGGGACAGTGTTACCCGTAGGGACAGTGGTACCCATAGGGACAGTGTTACCCGTAGGGACAGTAGGGACAGTGTTACCCGTAGGGACAGTAGGGACAGTGTTACCCGTAGGGACAGTGTTACCCGTAGGGACAGTGGTACCCATAGAGACAGTAGGGACAGTGTTACCCGTAGGGACAGTGGTACCCGTAGGGACAGTGTTACCCGTAGGGACAGTGTTATCCGTATGGACAGGGCTACCCATAGAGACAGTAGGGACAGTGTTACCCGTAGGGACACTCGTAGAACCAATCGCTGCGACGTTCCCTGCACCACCTAGAAATACACAGTTAGAAAAAAACAAAACATTTACGAAACGCAGAAACAGTGACGCTATAATGAAATAGAGATATGGTGCTCCCTTCCCATTCAATAGGTCCTGGGTTTGAAACCTAACAACGACGGCAACATTTTCTTTGCTAAAATTGTTCTCCTTTCAATTTGTTTCCTGCTCTCTAACCGTGTTCGTCGTTTGCTTTCGTCTCCACTTTCTGCCCCCTCCCCCGCCCCTGCCCCTCTAAGTCCCCTCCTCTGTGCTCCTGGCTCTTTCTGCAGTCTTTCTACCGCTACTCCTTGGCCCCTTCTTAATGCTGTCTTTCAGCCACACCTCTGATAAGGTAGGTAAGAATAATGGTAAGATATAACACCTAGCCTTCTCTGATAAGCGCTAAACAATCTCAGACATCTCGTGTGCAAGTTGCACAGGTTAAAGATCTCTTTGTGGTCCTACAATCGATAAGAGTAAACTTCAGCCGCCACCCGGGCAGAATTCAAAATTAATTCCTACAAGATTGAAATTACTTTATGTGTTTCGCAAACTCATATGATCTTATGTAGTTGTGGGCGCCGTAAACATTTGCAAAAAGAAAAAAAGAGAAAAATAAAAATAAAAGAGAAAAAAGAACCTTAGACATAAATCATAATATCCAAGGCCAACCACTGCCATGGTCGCCGCTTTTTTTTCGCACTTTATTTTAAAAAAATAAATTTAAAAAGCAAAAACAATTTCCGTCTCGCTACAGCCGAGTGCACACTGCACTCGCAACTCTTATCTCCTTTTCTTTTATAAAAAAAATAAGTTTCAAATGGAGTCGAATGGTGCGCCCCATGGTGAACTGCAATATAGCATTACAGATTGGTGCATAGTCTTGGATATTGTTTGTTTATTTGCCTGTTTGTTTGTTTGTTTGTTTGTTTGAGGAAAGAGAAGCACATCGACACAATGATGGTCATTAAATGTAGTGCACAGGTAAGAGAGACAGAGAGAAACAATATATAGATGGAAAGTAAAGCTGTAGGATATACCGTTTGCCTCCTCCAACCACCCACATGAGTATTTTCATACAAGTAGTCAGTGTGTACCTTAACAAATTATGGGTAACTGGGAAAGATCAGGGAAATGTTGCTTTTTTAAGAGCATCCGAGGAAAGGAATGAATGGAGAACCATGATCGCCAATGTCTGTCGCGGGCCTGGCGCTGGATGATGACGATGATGAGTCTGTGTGTTATGACCGAGCAATACACTCTGGGAATTATTTTTTTAAAGTGGAAACATAGCCAGGTGTATAAAAGAAACTAAACTGGGGAGTTTTTTCACTCACTTTATTTCATGACTTGAAGTATTGTGCCCCGCTTTCTCGATGACTTTACACTGTCTATTGTGGTCTGTTAGCCTTCAAAAGATACAGCATTAAGCAGCACAAAAAAGTAAAAACAACCATAACAACCAAATGACCTGCTAAAACCACGCTATTAGCCTGACAACATCAAACCCCTGGCTTCTAAATGCCCGTTACCTGTCGATTGAAAAAAAAGGGG